CTCGCCGGCTCCTGGGCGCAGATCGCAAGAAGAATAGAAAAGCGAAAAAGGGGGGAGGAAAAAAAAGAGGGAGAGAGAGAGAAAAAGAAAGACAGTCTGCAGGACACAGGATGTCCATCCTGGTCAAAAACCGGGCACCGAAGACAAGCGATCAGCAAACGCTCACTGACAGCTGATAAACGGGGCTCTGAGGAGCCCCGTCGGGGTAAAACCAGATGAAACGTAAAGGTAAATTACACCAGAGATGGGCTACAGGCTACACCAGCCCACGGGAGAGAAAGGGGAGAGAGGAAGAAGCAGGAACTCGGAGTCCAAACTAGGTGAGGATGCGTTCAGCAGAGGTGAAGCGTGAGCAGAGTTAGAAGGAAGAGACAGGTACGATGTGGGAAGAAATGAACTGATTTAGAAAGGACTCAAGTTGAAGTTGCGATTCTCGTGGCGATGAGCAGAGACTTCAGCAGCGGCAGTCTCTCTCCTCCAAAAGGCAGCAGATAGGGACTTGAATACCAACTCGAATGCCAATTTAGGAACTCGCGCTCCCTTGGCAGAGCTAATTGGAAGAAAAATCTGGGAGAAAGAAGGGAAAACTAGAAGGAGATGGGGAGAATATCAACCAGTGGCATAGAGCAGTGCAAAATCAGGAAAGTCTCTCCCCTGTATTTTTACGTTCCAAGGCTAAACATAAAAGAGTCTTTCAAACTGCCAGGGGCCCGCAGGATCAGGTGGGCAAACAACGCCGGAAAGCTAACGTCTCCCTCTTTTGATATTATTCACACCTAGGCTAAACTGTTGTTAAGACGAGAGTGTGGAAAGCAACCTCAAGCCCACAAAATGAGAGAGAGAGAAGTTGTTGATTCATCTCTGTATTTTTGGCACTTTCTCCCCATTTTCCAGAAGGCGCCTGGAACAGTTAGTAACAGAGAAACTTTTTAATTTTAAAATAGCTTCATAACTTATAGAGGCCAAAAAGACGAGCAGAAAGCCTGATTTCGCTTTCCTCCTCTCTCCAGTAGAAATCTGCAGAAAAGGTTAGAAGCAGAAGCATACCCAGCTCTCCTGCAAATGCACCTTGCTTCATTAGAACGTGATGAAAATTGAACATTAACGTGATGACACAGGACTGATCTGATCTGGCTCTACCCTATTTTATTAAGCTGGAAAACTCAAAACAGTAGTAGAGTCGTGCATATTGCATTCTCTGCCTTGCTATCCGAGGTATTACCGTCCCTCTCTGGTTGAGTACAGGGAAAATGAGTTTTAAGTCAGAACCTCTTGGAATAACGGGACTATTTTATAAAGTATTTTTGGTAATTCCACTTAAAAAAAAAGGCATTCAGGTACTATTCGGTGAGCAACAATCACCTCGAAACAGAACTTTAAAGGTATCCATTCAAGCTTCATCATTAAATTAGCTGGCTGAGGACGACATAACAGCTGATTTCCATGCATTCTTTTAATCCTAAACACTAAAAAATGAAATTCGGAGACAGGGGGTAAATTGTAAGATTGTAAAGAGTGAGTCCGTATTCACCTGCGTTCAGCAAATTCAAACTATTCACCTGGCTGTAGTTATCTAGAGTATGGATTTAGCAACAGGAAATAGCTTCCTTTCCAGATATTGCTATGTCCCTTTTAATCCTTAATGATAAGAATTCCCGTGATTAGTCAGTAACACTTTTTTTTTTTAAACACATTTAAACCTGCTGCAAGTAAAGGAAACACGCTGACTTTTTGCATAGCTAGTGGCTTTGGCACCAAAAAAAAAAGTTATGTAAGAAAACAACAGCAATCAGAGTACAAGGATGTACCATCCTGTCTGGGTTTACTACGCCATCCATTTGTTACTGGAAGTTTTTTTTTTTCCCCCTCCAAGAAACAAACAGAAAAAACACATCCTCAGATGTAGCGTCCTCCTTTGAACAACTTACTAAGTACGAGGCGGTAATTGGGCAACAGATAATTAAGACATCAGAAAAATGTAACAGCCCACCTAGATCCAAATCGGAAAAATGCGCTCCCGAAAATACTGTGCAGAGAATGGCGCTAAATTGGGGGCAGGACACCGCAGAGATGTGTCCACACTCCCAGGCGCAGCGCAAGTAATACACTGTAGCTTGTTGCTTTCCCTGTGTGATCAATTAAGTTACAGATGTAGCACTCACTGTCAAAGAGCTACAACTTCTCCGCGGCAGAAAAAGAGGACTTGTGGTACATTGTATGCAAATATGTGTGTATGAGCGCTGCTCAGTAACAATTGTGTTTCCCTCTCTGTTTGCATAAGCGAACATCCGCCGGGGAAATAGGTATATGCGTGCCGAGAAACAAGAAATCATTTTTACTTTTAGCGTTACCATTCGCTTAATGTCTGTATTTTAAATTACTTCCCTTGCTTTTCCTTCACAAAGGCAAAGACAGCCACGGAAGCCAGCGCAGCCAGATGTTGAGGAGGGATGCTGCACTGCTGTGGGTCCTTGCAGAGGGAAGGAATCAGTGGCTCTCAGTTCACATTGGGGCACTTACCTGTTCACAGCTGTCACTGCATTTTGCACTCTCTCTCTCCGTAAATACATTAACATAAAGCAGCGTTCAACAAGCAATGCAACCTGTGTGTTAAGTTTTACACCACGCATCTTTAAGACGAGCAAATCTACAGGTCCTGCAGAGTTGGTAGAACAGTCTCTGAAGTTTTGATTCATAGAGCAAGAAATTCCACATTACAAGCCATTCACAAGTCATTCTCCCCAATTAATGCCGAACAACTAACAGGCATCTTTATAAATTCACTCTGCTGACACTCTCCGACAATGAAAACTTTTTATAGGCTCTCTGAAAATGTTCAGAGAAACTTTTGCAAAATGATCAACTGCATTTGAGAGAAAGCTAAAGGAAAAGAAGTTAAAACCTGATCACCCGATAGGAAAGAAAGTTTGGTTAGACTAGATAAAAGTATATTACTGCACATTTCTTCACAAGCAAACCTATCAGCTGATGCGAGTCCCCCTAGAACAAGAACCTCTGGCGATTTCCTCAAAATTTAGGGGACGTTTGCATTTTATTGCACCCAAAGCAAAAGATCTGACTGAAAACAAAAACTCTGAATTCCTTAGAACGTCATCTGCCACCACAAACGTATTATCCTGGCGGAAACAGTATCAGAGAAAAGGTTTTAATTTCATTTGAAACTGTGCATCATCTTGACAGAGAAGCAAAAAGCCGCAGCAACAACAATCTCCCCACTCCACCCCCCGTTCAAAAAAAAAAAAAAAAGGAAAAACCACATAAACTTTTACAAAGAAAATAACAGCAAGTTTGACATGAAAACCCCTTCCTGTCTCGGAAAGTTCATTTTAAAGGTCCCCTCTGTAAATCTAAAGTGCAAACACCAGGCTAAGGTAGTGAGTGGCTGGAATTTGCATGCTGATAAGAGAAGGCTGTTGTACTTACAGTGACAGAGGGCAGGCTGCGGAAGAAAAGCTGTTTGTGTTAGCCTGAGAGTCACCCAGGGCTGCAATGAGAGGAGAAGAGAGGAGTGGGAGTGCCAAGCTGGATACACCTTCACCGCATCTCATCACATCTGCCAGCCTCTCTCTCCCTCTCTCTTTCATTTCCACATTCCCTTTGTTCCTGAAAAAAAAAATCTACACGTCACATCAGTCCCCAGATGCAGTCTACACCAAAGAAAAAAATGAATAATTCAATCAAACTGTGCATAGTCTCTAAGGCAATAAATCTATTGCACTTAAAGAAACGAAGGGTAATTACCGCTATAGAATTAGAATAAGGCCAGAGAGCGCAGGGATCCCAGGGTCTGCAAACTCCACGGTCAAATAAAGTTTCATTTATTTAATCCTTCGACAAACCCAGTGTAAACTAAAGGGGAGGATCACAACTTATTCCAGATGGGTTTGAGAATGCTTGAAGTGAATGTTATAAAAGCAGAGCACCCGTGATCTGTAATAAATACAATGCAAGGAAGTAGAAGTGTTTCACTGCATCACCTCCAGGGTCCGTTCCCCCCTCCCTAATGAAGAGCAGACCACACTCCCACTTTCATCAGCTTCTGCCGCTCTCTACAAGTGCAACGGGAATTGCTGGCAGCGAGCAGCAGCCTTACCTGCTCCTAGATTTCAAATAAAGCCTTACAAAAACTCATGATAACCGGCAATTCTGTTCCACGTTCTGGCGGAGAGAAACCATGCGGGATTTGCACCAGCAAGGAGTGAACAGAAACGTTGTCCCTGACTTCTGGATTTGTCCTGGGCTGAGTTTAGGGGAATGCCTGCCGGGGGCGGGGGGAGCACGCTCGGGAGCGGAGCTCAGGCAGGCAGGCGGCGGCAATGCTGTAACAGAGCCCTGCGACACACCGACCTAGGTAGGATGGAGGAGAGCCACAGTTTTCCCTCTCCTACCTCTAACGTTGCACGCCCGGCTCGGAGGTAAGATGACTCTATATTGTGTTTATTCTCTCCGGGTAACTCAGGTCCCAGGGGCATGCTTCTGTGTTAATGAGGGCGGCGGCTTAGGGCTCTGTCTCAGATCTTTATATCAAATCAGGCTGGCGTTTAACATCGGCATCTGCTGCTTTACACTTTCAATCACATTCTTTGCAAACTTCTCCTGGGGGGCTGGCGGAAGGAGAGAGAAGAGGGGAGGAAAAACAAAACAAAAAAAAAACCAGGTGAGGCTGCGTGGTTAAGATGACACAGACCTCACTCCAATTCAGCGACGCTTTGTGCCGGCCGGAAAGATTAAGACACCTTCCACTGACGTAGGGAATCGCGCATCTCCCATCCTTGAACTGTTTTAAAAGACAGTTTTGATTTATCCAAAACATTAACGGAACTGTTATTCTAATAAAGGTAAACTAGAAAACACACTTGCCTCTCCGCTCACTTGAGCTTTGTTTATGTGCTTAAAACGCCACCGTGAGGCGAGTGCAAATAAAGCAGCGAGAGCAAACGCCTGCCAAGGAGCTCTCGGATTAGCACTTCGCAAAGCAAAACAAACAGCGTTAGCAACATCGCGAAAGTCTTCGAAGAATCTCGCCCTGGCAACCTGCTCTTCCAGTGGCTCTTGCCACGAAACGCCAGCCGGAGCCTTCCTGCAGCCTCCCCCACGCTGAGCAACTCCACACACACACACACACGCTCGCTCTTCCTCTCTCTCTGACTGATGCATGGGTGAGAGAAACAGGGACAGAATTTAAGGCTCGGAGATGGGAATACACAAAGAAAATAAAAATCAGGGATTTTCTTAACCACCTGCCCCCGAGGGCCTCTTCTTCATTTGCCTTTCACACTAGAAATCAGAGCACACATTGCTTGTTCCCACAGTGGGAACCAGGTGTAGTGAGGCAAGAGCCCCTCAGCCCCCCTTTGCTCCCACACATCAGCCCACTATCTATAAAATGCCTTCAATCTCACTGCTTAAAGCAGGGGTTTCCTTGCGGAGCATGTGCCAGGGAGTATTGCTGACTGCTTTTCCCAACTTGTACCCCATTCCCCCGGCAAAGTCAGGCCAACAGCACTGCCCAGGCTTCCCTGGAGGATTTTGTTTCTCCAGCCTTTTAGTTATTATCAATTCACAGGCTGGGTTTGTGGTTCATAATCTATACTGGAGTTATCTTTTAATGGAACAGAAAAGAAACAAACCTAGGATGTTGTGACCCATGAACAGTACCTGGAGTGACAGTGCTTATTTAAAGTTGTGGGCAAGGCTCAGTCAGCACAGTGAGTTTTTTAGGCACACTCCAGACACAAGAAAACTATAGCACCGGATCAGCATCAGGAGATGCGTCCTGCCGATACACAGGGGCATAAATGCATCACGATACACTGCCATTCTTAGCTGTAGTCCCACAAAAAGCCTTACACAGGGAGGGGAGACCCTCCCCACGCACACACCCAGGACTTTCAGCAGCAGCTGGTGGGACTGGGGCTCTCCCTGAACCACAGGAAAGCGTTCATCACATCAGGGTAGCCTCTCCTCTGCAAGAGCAGTAACTACACTGGCAAAGCCAAAGTCACCAAACTCTTGACTGCAAGTCGTATTAGTGGAGTAAGCTCTGCAAATGAATCATGAGACCACTAATAAGAAGCTCCAAAAGAAACCTGGTATTACATTCAGCCATGCTTGGAAATTACATTACGGTTTAATATCTGATACTTTGTAGGTATCAAGTTAAAAAAACAATAGTGTGACTGTGGGAGGAGCAAACACTTCCACTGCAATGGGTCTGGCTCTTCCCATTGTGAGTATTTCAGCTAACAGCTAGATCTGCCTAGTTGTCATATTGGTAATTTTTCTACTCCTATCTCTGTATGATAGGATGACAATAAAACACTGTTAACAGACATTAAAAAAAAAAAAGTAGTTTAGGGTGGATGATAATTTAAAATGTACATTTTCAGAAATAACTAAGAGCTACATAGGAGGCACTTAGAGCCATAATCACAGTCATACTAAGGCATCTCTTCCTCGAGCGTACACCTGTGTGGCCTCATGTATTATAATGATATTCCCAGCTTCAGGGATAGCTGAGCGCGTCATATAAACGCAGAACAGAAATACTGGTGCATCTACAGCACACTCACGTTTCAGGAGCTGCGAGAGAACATATGCTAAAAGACCCCCTTATAACCCACCATTGCACTATTTTATATTACAGCCCAGAGTAAATCATAGGTCAGTGATTTAAACGTGAAGGCTGTTGAATATTTTTTCCCTAGAATATCAATCGCAGAAAAATCTTTGCTAAAGATGATAACTGGAAGCCACTACGATCCATTCTAAGGGTTTATCAGCCCATCATGGTGCTTTTGTTTTTTTCACTGGAGATGTCCCATTCTGATGGTGCACACTAGATTAGATGCACACTGTATTCATTCTATCAGTTTATTTTTGTTTCATATATCAAACAAAATTCCCAACAACAAAGCATAATTTTTAAAGTTCCTGACCTAACTACCACGCAAAAAACAAGATACTGCATAAAAACCAAAAAATCTTAAATGCTAAAATAAATATACAAAGTTGTCTTTGACCTGAGGATTGGCCCACATTACAAATAAATGTGTTGCCACTAAGCCACATGAACAGAAATAAAAGGCATTCTCAAGATAGGTCAATGATTTTGTACTTTATATTACTACCACTGTGCACTTATAAACTGCATTGGTTTCAAGCTGTTCCTGTGCTTTTGTGATCATATGGCCTAAGCTTGTCGGCCCGTGTCACCATCAATTGTTTCACTTGCAAGTTCAGGCTCTGAGCGCTTAAAGTGCATGCTTCTTCTTAGGAGGATCAAAATGACAATGCTAAAGTGGATAAACTGCTTAGAAAATATTAAGAAAAAAGGTGGAAAATGTCTACAAAAGACTTTGGGGTAGAGTTATTTTGGACTATCCCATTCTGCCCGAGGCTTATAAATACTGTGATGTATCGAATGGGTAGTATGGCAGTCTCCTCCCTTTGATCACCTCCAAGAACATTTTACGTTTTCTAACAAAAATATGTACTAGTAACTTCTTGCAACAAAGTTGACTAAGAAGCAAATCACTGTATACATCTTTCAAAACACGTTTAAATACAGCTTGTTAGCCCAGGAACACTGGGTAAAAACCGCTGAAAATATTTAGACTGTTAAAAACTAAAATGTGACATGATCTCAACATATTTGAGCATTCAACTGTATGAAACTTTTTTTCCAATATAATATCAAATTTAAGAATCAAGTAAAGTAAATGTGATTTGACTGCTCTGGAATCTTCCTAAGACAAATGACTGAAAGATCAAGGTGTTTTATTTCCTATTTGAATCAATGATCAATAAGTCCTATACATAAGAATTACACATTTTAAATACTAAAAAAAACCCCTTTTTAAAAATAAATGCAGTTAGAATGAATAAAACAATTATCCTTTGAGAGTAAAACTACTTTTAAAGTCATTGTAATCTATAATTATGAAGTAACTTGAATAAGGCATCTTACGTTGGTCCTAAATTTTTTAGTCAAGTAAAACACCCATTGATTCCTATGCGAGTGCTGCCCGAGTAAGAGAGTATCCTGTCAAACTGTTTAAATCAGATAACTTCTAAAAGCCTACAGACCGATAGAATAGCATATTATACTAAAGGTATGTATTTAATACAGAGAAGTAATTCAAGTTACCAGGCCACAGCTTTTTAACATTTACAATAAAATAAGGCATTTATTTTAAGGGGATTTATAATTCTGTGTCTGGTCATGCAGATAGTTATGCTTGTGCTTATGTAAGTTGTGCCAGAGAATTAGTCTTCTCATGTCACAAGCATTTGAGGGTTAGGATGTATGACACTAGAAATACGAATAAATGGGCTAAATAGTCCACAAGCAACATCAATGCCATTTGTAAATCAATTACAGTGCATTACACTGTAAGAGTTGTTTTAGAATGCTGAATTTAGAAGTTTATGACTGGCGATATACATTTTCTTTGTTTGGATTTAATAATCTCTTTATCAGTATTACATAGCAGTTAGATTTTTAAAAATGTTCACACAAATTAGAGCTCCTTTATGAAAAAGTCTACAGCAAACAGACAAAAGAATGTTGAAATACCCATTTTTATTTTAACAAAGTATTGGAAGCTTAATTCTAAAAAGAATATTAAGTAAATAAATGTTAATGCTGCTTACTGGTATTAGCATAGTTGAAAGTATAGTTTATAAATTTTTGAGAGCATCGGCATCATGATACGGTTGTCATAGAAACTGCAACAATATGTCATTTCAATTAATTTTACATGCAGTGATGCTGAGGTCTGTCTAACAATTCTTTTAAAAAGTTCCACAAGTAAATACTAAAGAGCAGGAACAAAAATCTGAATACGCGACAGTACTCTTCAATTATTATTTAACAAAACTAGGAGAATTCTAAATTATTGTTAAAATTGTAACTCAACCTACAGTTGGAGAAACTACAGTTAAGCAGACTGACTTCAAAACCACCGAAATTAAAAGGTGAAAGCTATGGAAACGTTCAAACTCTGACTGAAAACAGTATCTCTGCCCAACGAAGCATATCTGGCAAAATATAAAAAAAATCCTATGATTTATTCCTGTTTAAGAAAATATAGAATAGTTTTAAATTATGAATGCTCCTTTTGTGTGTGTAAGAAGCAAAAAGTCAAACATTGCAAATCCAGGACCAAAATACAATATAGAAAAAAGCTTTAAAGGTAGGAAATGTAACATGAATAGATTTATTTTTCCTGTATAATGCAGCTACTGTGTGTTATGAATGCTGCCTTAAGTAAATCATTTCCAGACACATTCAACTGACATTAATGACTTGATTATTAGAACAGAAAAGCTAACCAAAATAAAGAGTGTTTTTAAAAAATAATTGTATTGAAGCAGTATAAAATTTATTTGCTTATTTTTGCTGTTATAGGACAACACCAACGCATACTGTTTTCCCTTATTGCATATGAATCATACAATACTTAATCCTATAGCTTATACATGAAAGAAAATACAGAGCAGATCCTAGTGGGAAAAAATGTAGGGTTTTCAACACATTTTACACAGTAATCAATAATTACATAGTGTACTTTGTTTACATTTACTGAGTTGCCACACAGACTAGAATATGCAAGACCTTTCAAATTGAGACAAGAAATAAGCTGTAAGTAAAAAAAAAATTATCAATATTAAAAACAAAACAAAAAAAACAAGCAAAAAAAGCCTAAAGAAGCTATCTGCAGCACGAAGGGAGAAGCATCTAGAGCTATCCTTTCTGATAGGATTAAGGAATGCTACAAAAGAAGCATTTAAATTTCTAGTTTTCCCTGACAATTAACAATGAAAAGCAGATGTTTACAAAGCTATTTTACATGCTGGTTTATAAGATGCTAAAAGATGGTTTGTGGATGGTAAGAAGGAAGAGCTGGATAACTGCTTGTCTGGTGTATATTTAAAAGCATTTTCATTGGCTCAGTTATTGTTAATAATGAAAGAAACACTTTATGCTGTATGGCTGTGACTATAGAAAACTGCCGTCATAAAGTCCTCAACAAACTCTTAAGATGCAATTTACAAAGATAATAATAACACAGAATTATTTCACTTCTCTGAATGCTACACATTTGCATACCAGGACTGTGTACAATATACTCATAATGCACATTCATAACAACAAGGACTTCTTAACACTGCAACTACAGCACAAGCTCTGTGCATTAAAAATCTACAGTTCTAAGTTTCCCTTTTTGGTGGGAAACCATTTGTCCATATAAGCCAGATGCTCTGTATCTGCACAGGATAAGTTCATATTCAATTCCACACCTTTGCTGAATGTGATCATTTCATGAAAATTATGAAACACTGGAAAGTAGCAACAATATTAATAAATTCACTGTCATGTAGAAACATGGCAAATTAACTTTTCACACAAATTTAAGAAGTCTGGTCTATAACTGTGAGTCAGGAGACGTGGGTTCTACTCCTGGCTGTGCTACAAACCTACAGAGTGTTTTTGAACAAGTCACTTACACCAAGTTACTTGAGCAAAAAAAAACTCAAAAATGTATGCCTCAAGCTCAATTTAGACAGATCCGTATCTGCTTATATTGGATGCATGCAAATATAGGCATATGCCTCTGAAAGCTGAGGCCTATCCTTTTTGGACTTCCATCTTCTTATCCCATTTCTCTACATGCAGAGATTGCTGGGAGACTTAATTCATAAATGACTTCTTACATATCAATTATTTTTACACACAACACGATTACCATCAAAAGTCCCAGCCCCGCAAAGACTCATACGCACAATTCACTTCACACGTTTGTAGCAGTCCAATTTACTCTAATAGAATTATTCACTCTGTATAATTCTAGGCATAGTTCCTGATCCTGCAGAAGTTTGTAAGTTAATGAAATAGATAATGTGTAAGAACACTCCTACAAGTTAGCAATCAGGCTTCACATTCTTAAAAGCCTACGTCACATTCAGCAGAAGGATTTTTCTAGATGTTGCCATCATCATGTTCTGGTACAAGAAAGAGGATGCACAGTAAACTTCACATTAAAACGTTCTGCTGTCTTGTGATATCTTAAATACATTTGCAAAATGAACAAAAACCTCTTCATATCATGTAAAAATTCCACAGACTTTAGCTCTAATCATAAAAGATACTCATATCACCTCTGTGTTACCAGTACCCAAGCTGTTTTTGGTTTTTACCTCAAACATTGAATAAATTATTATTTCTGTTATTGCTTATGCTATTCATGCAATTTATTCCTACTATTTATGCTATTTCTACTATTTTCAGCTGTGAATTAATATATTGTACTAAATTACAGAAATATTTAATTCATATTTTTTGGCCAGATTTAGTTTCTTCAGTGGATTCTTCAGCAGCTCAGTATTCCTGTCTACAGGCTAACTCTTGGAGAACAATTATGCTACATTTATAATGATATGCAAAGTAGGTCAAGTTCCAAACTTGCAAATACCCATACCTAACTTCACCCAAATAGAGACTGCTCACATGTCTAAAACTAAACACGTATACAAACGTTTACAGAATTGGGGCTGAAAGGAGCAAATAGTCTTCCTGATTTGGATGGACTTTTACCACAACACAAATTATTTACACAGAATTCTAACTGCAAGGCATTATTGCAAATATTTCGTATGCCTTTCAGAAAACACCGTGAGGAAAGTACCTTCTCAGCAGCTGCTATTGGTAGGGGAGATAGGGACAAAAGAAGGAAACAGCTTCTCCCTCGCTCTGCAATAGCCTGCACCAGCACAGCACTGATGCCAAGTACCACAACAGCTGCTACGACCTGCCTCACAAGCCCCTGCTTTTTCTAGAACAAACTTCCTCGGAGACACAAAAAGCATCCTCCCTTCTTCTTCCCCCTCCTCCGACAGAAATTACACTGCTGGTGGAGTTCTCGAATGCTGGCCCTCCACAACCACAGAGCAGGGGGTACAATTTGCCTCTGTCACAGTATTTGGTCATTATTTTAATTAATTTGGGGGCATTTTAATAATATAGAATGGTATGTTTCTCAGACTACTATCCAAAATGTCTGTGACTAAGGTTTCAGGTCTGTAGACTTTCTCCCCTTCTTTTTTTTTTTTTCCCCTCCTCCTTTTTTTAATATGTCTTTCCATTAACTTTCTAATTTACACAATGAAAAGGTAAACCCAAGGTGAATATTTTGGTTAAAAAACAAAATTAAAATAGGAGATGTTCCCAGTCTCCAGTAAAGTAGCCCATGCTTGTGGAACTTGGCATTAAAAAGAAAAATACCTTTAGAACTTTATTACTTTAGAATTAACTACCCCCTCCCTCACTCTTATGATTAGAAGAAAAAAAAAAAAAGAATAATTACTTTAATATGGTAATTTTCCACCTAAGGATTGCAACCCAAACGTGGATTGTAAAGGTATTTTCAAGGGGTCACACATTTTGCCTTTGCTTTTTCTATCCTTTCTAGAACTTACAGTTGCAAAGAAAATTTATCATCTTTACTTCTTCAATGCACAAAACTGGGGAGATTGAGTGTGAAATTAGCAGTGTATTAGCTCTGAATGCACATATCTAACAGAGCCACAACTGATGAACATTTTAGAAAATATCCTGCATAATCATCATGTTCAACAGAGGAAGCAATTCCTAAGAAACAATACAGAATATCCTTGAGTACTTTCAAAGGGTTCTGGGTCAAAGAAAGTGAAACAAGGATTTGTTAAGGTCTCTTCAATGAAAAAACGAGAGAGAAAATGACTGAAAAGCTGTGCTTTAAGTGAACCACGCCATACTGAATCCCTTTTGCAATTCTTAAACTTCAGATTCTAAAAACTCCAGCCCTTTACTAGAGAGTATTTGGCTCACTTGTTTTCCAAGAGTGGAATTCAAATTTTTCAAAGCCCTTGCATGAGAGGATCTTGCTTCTTTTTGCTCAAAAAATGAATGAGAGATATGAATCCTTTGGTTCAGAGAGTAGCATTATTTTGTGGAGAATATTAAGGGATTTTACTGTTGATATTTTCACATTAATATACATTATTTATCTCCACAGGGTGGTGAAAAAGAGAAAATTGCCAAGACTTACTGGGTGGCAGGAAGTGGATTCACTATAATCAACAGCAGCAGGGGACTCTTTGAGGTTGTGTTGCAAGATATATTCGAGATTTTAGCAGAAAGAAAATAATTGCATTTAATACTGTGCTGGTGGGGAATAACATATGTGCAATCTTTTCCAGCTTTTAGACTTACATTCAGATTTAGACTCTTGCCCTTAAGGAGCAGCATTTCTGTCTGCATCTTAAAATCTGGAGACATTTCTTTTTAGCAAACTTAAGCAGAGGATGTCCTATTACTAGCTTGCTGAGTTTTGTGCTATTTGCAAATTTTACTTCACAAATTCACCAGGGTTTCATGAACATACTCACTGGACAAAATAAACAGCTCCGTGTTCTGTAACCAAGCTATTATTAAAACATAGTTAAGTTTCTGGCACTACTTTGTTTTAGATTTTACATGAAAAACTCAGAGATTATAGGTTTTCATAGATGTTTGCTAAAAATTTCTTTCTAGGTCAAATCACTACACCCCTTATACAGTCAAGACTTCTTTAAAATGGATGTAGTTCTGTCTGAGTAAACACTAACCTGATAGGTTGAGGGAATAACTGAAGGTTGTTATTATGAAAAAGCTGCAGGTCATATAAAGGTTTTCTACACTTAGGGGGAATGAAAATTTGTGCATATGACAAGCTGGCACTGAGGCCCAATGTTACCTCATATAACTTCAGCAAATTAAAAGTAGCTGTCTAGTCTAAGCTAATTGTGTAAAATGCCTTTATACTCAAATACATATATGGAGAGAGGTACGTCCAAAGGCTGTTTCAGTGTTGTCCTGTATGCCCATAAATACCTGAGGCAGAAAAGATGAACTGGTCACTGGTGGAATATGTCCCTCCTGACTTGAGGAGGATCTAGAAAGCACTTAGACTAGATACCTACCTTTTACTGACCAAAATAGGTGAGATGAGTTACACCTTGGGTAACTAGTGCAACCTTTGTCTAGTCTCACCACTTTTTGTCATTCTCATTCTTTGCGTCAGCCCAGAATAGGGATCATTTGTGTCAAACGCTAAAGGCACAGTGATAATTTACACCAGATGTGGATCTCTCTATTCTTCACCTACGAGTTTAGTTGCACACTTCAGGAAAACACATAAAATTACCCTTCAAGGAAAATTTGTTAAAGCACTCTTCTCACAACCCTATTGTTTTCTTAACTTTCTACATAAACATAAATAAGAGTATACCTACATATGCATAAAGGCACAATATGAAAGATGGCAGGTCTGGGCTTTATATTGACATAGACTTACAGGTGTCTGCAAAAAAGTGTTAATTGGGAGATGTGTGCTGGAGGAGGAGATGGTAGGGGGAAATAATCTTCCATTCAATAACAACCTTCTTAAAAGTCATTTCAAGGCCAAACCCACTGTTTTTATTTGTAAAATGTCATATACTTTTCACAAGCTGTAATTCCACAGTCACTTTAGGTGGCTTAAGGGCTGGCATCAGGGAATTTACCTTCCTTGCTCCAACCTCAATGCCAGCAGTAATATTAGGCGGCTACACATTCAGCCAGTAGAAGAAACTGCTCTGGATTTGGGGGGCAAGGAGAAGGGGGTCAGTTGTGAGTCAGAACAGCGTAGCTACACAAATACTAGTGCTGGCACAAGAGGGGACAGTGGGCGGGTGCTCGTATGGAGATGAAACCACTGTTTTTAGCTTAAAGAAAGAGCGGAACTGCAGCCTGTGGATGCGATCCTATAGCACCTT